AAAGTGTAATAGATAATTAGTTTTTGGAATTGGGTGCCATGCAGCTCACAAAAGTTATGGCCGGGTGCCTTGGATCCAGTGCAGAGTAGCTCAAGTCCCAAAAGACTGAGATCTACAGTTGGAGGATTCAGGATTTTTCTTTTAATCAAGCACCTGATTTTCATCCTTCACACAAAATGCAGGTGGCTAAAAGAAAGGAAGGTGTGATCAGAATAAACACCAAGAAAAGGTGTTGGGAGACTGTAAATTAAAGTTGCTCTAAAACATGCGTGTAAGAGAGCATAGCCTCTGGGAAATCTCCATTGGCATACTCCTCAGTGCAATGTAGATGCAAAGGGCCTTAGTATGCATGGACGTTCCTGAGCATGCTAAACTTAACTTAATTGGCTGTATTGAAAGGCTGTAACATCAACACAAGTGCATGTATGTCTGTGTACCAGGGTTCCTGGGGCAATTCCATTGTATGGGTTTTAATTTGCACCGCAGCCAACTGAAAATTCCTCATCTTTGTACTCTATTATGTCTAGTGTTTTCTCAGATCAAGCTTTGGTTAGTTTTCAGATTCATATAATGGATTATGTCAGGTATCTAGGTTGTAGCTGTATTGGTCTAGAGGCAAAATGAATCAGTTCTGTATTGGATTACAGCATTGAAAACCTATTGTGAATGTTACTTGTCATCCTTCCTGTCCTTGCAGCTGTGATCTACAGTCGTGTTTACCTCAGCCTTCCTGTCACTCTTTGGCTTAATATCTGTTGACAGCCTCTATTTTTCAAAGTGGTTTCTGCCTTGGGCTGTTGCTTTGCCAAAGCTGTGTAATCTTCCCATGTACTGTTATGTGGGTATTCATGAATGCAGGCAGGATACTAAATATGGTTACAGAAAAAGTGTTAACAACTTCAGGGATTTAATCCAGTGTTGCTAGACAACCCCCTACCACTCTGTTCTCTGGACATGCAAGGAAGGTAGGTTCAGACACTGAAATAGAACCCTTCTTTTTTTACCAACTGATATCTCTGGCTACTGCAGCTAAGAGGTTCTCAAATACAGTTTCAGCTATATGACATCCCTCTGAAGACAACATACAAATGTGCAACATAGCAGAAGCCATTGCTCAGCATCTCCCCAAGTAATGTACATTTATTTTATTTTTAAAATTATGGATATTAATAATGTGTATTGTGGCAGCACACAGAGTCTTCAACTAGGTCTGAGCCTGTCTGTTAGGGACACTATATAAACATGTTGCATGCTCCAAAACCCATATAAGTGTCCCATATAACTTACAACCTAAAAGTTAAGATATGTTAAGTAAGAATGAAAAAAACAAGCAGTTAAGGGACACAAAGAAGTAATAAAAAGAACAGGGAGTTATAGCATAGGTTAGCTCTGTTGACAGCTCATGAACAATTGATAGAAGTAATCACAAATAATGTTCTCTTTAAAATAGAAAATTACAATCACAGGAGGGAAAAATAAATAAGAGACCATCTGTATCCTGCCTAATCGAAAGCCTATTTCTTCCAGAAGCCCTATTTTAATAGTCAGGACTCAATTCCACAAACTTTCATTAACAACAAATCAAGATTTTTTTTTCCTTTGCTATACCAGGATTTGCCTCACAAGAAATATTGACTATAACCACTTTTCACAAATTAAAAAAAATCCCTCTTTGTTCTGCGTGCCAAGTTTCAGCCTAGACTTGATGGAATTTTTGCTGAGACTTAGAATAGAAGCTTCAGAATGGACTTTTCTATGGAATTTAAATAGCAGTTTATAATAGAAAGGCTGACAGACCTTTTCTTGAGAACTGGGAACATGAAAACAGCAATACACTGGTAAAACAATAGTGGACAGGGAATTATTTTTTTCTCTGATTTTTATCTTCTCAGGGGATAAAATGTAAAGGTATTTTAGATATGCAGACTTCACCTGTGAAAGTGTTAGGGCAAGTCATAAAGACAGCACAACACTATCAGAATATCTAAGGACTCAGGCATGTAATATACAGCATTACAAGTAAAAATAGCCCCAAAAGTATAGAGTTAAAGAAGAAATAATTTAGTTTAAAATCTAACAGACTCAAATGTTCCTTCACAGTTACAATTCTATATTTTTTGTCTATATTCTGATAACATGCTTAGGATTGCTTAATTTTCTCATCATAGTAACCCACCTTATTGTACTAGGAACTGACTGAACTCCCAAATAACTAAGAGAATTTAGATCAGTCTTAGTTATTTGGTGGTGTTTTCAGTTTGGAGCTCTTTTCAGTTCTTATTTAAGTCAATACGTGTTTTGCTGTCAACACTTGTGACACCAGATTCAAGGTCTTGAGGCAGCACCTTGTGATAATGTGTATGCACCATAACATGCATATTTATGGTTTCCATCCTGCATGTGGTTGCAACTCCCAAGTGAGAAGCTAGGAGTCCTCAGGTCCCATAGATTAATGGAGAGTGTGATTAAGTCCAACTCTTGCCATGCTTTTAGGCACACAAAATAGATCAAATGTATCTGTGGTATAACCCTGAATCAATGGCAGTAGAAAGCAGTGGGGAAAAGAGTGAATTTTGTTAGCAAGTGAATGGACTAAAAATAAAGGTGCGCCCAACTGATTTTGCCTTTCCATTGGCCAGTAATACAAGATACTCGGTATCTTCTTCCTTGAAAAAAAAAACGGTATTTTTTCACTACAGCAGCAGAATTTATTCTTGAGAAGACCCATGATCATTTTTTAATGAGACTCTTGACTATGTTAAATCAGCATGAAGAATTAATGAGTTTTCAAAACAATTCTCTCTCACATATTCTACTATCCACTGCCAAGGAAAGTTTAGCCTTTTCAGTTCCTGTCCTTTGACTCCACTGAACACAATATTGAATTTACTATTAAATAGCTAGAGCTGCCACTGTATCCTCACATACATGCACATATATGTGTAATATATATACGTGTAATATATGCAGGACCTGAGGCTCCTGCCTGGCAGCATCACTGCCACCTAGTACATGCCAGATATACCATGTGAGGGTATATTACATGTCGAAATATACCGTGTGTGTAGTGGCAGTGTAAATTGTTACTTGGTCATCTGCATTGGACACTCAAAAGTGAGCCAGATGTGATACTCATCATATTATTTTCATGTGTGCCCTACCCAGGCTAGCTCAGTGGGGCACTAGGCTTACGGTTATTTTTGACAGTAACAGTTTAAAACGTATTTCTTAAACCATATTACTCAATATTCAAAACAAAGCACACCACCTTTTATCCTAGTCTAGAAAAAGCCTAAGGGGTGCTACTTTTTTCAGGCAACAGTAGCTATCTGATGGAACAGAACGTTCACCAAGATCAAAGACAAGAGCTATAAAACTCACCTTTTTTCCTTATGTGTCTATCTAGATGATAAAGTGCAATGTTATGTAATATTCACAGACACAAGCAAAAAAGGTTAGCTTTACAATACACACACACACACATACACACAAGCACACAAATAAGCCATCAACTAACTGTAGCTATGGACTAGAAATGGAAGAGGTTTTTGGAGCTGCCTTCTTTGGAGCTCCCTCCTTGAGCAAGAATATTCAAGTGAGCAAAGTTTGCAGGATTTGATAGGTGCTGTGTCACCAGATTTGCCAGATGTAAGACAAAAATCTGTTGTGAAATGGTTACACTAGGAGGGTGTTTTTAAAATAGTGCATGAATATTGTGCTAATAAAACCACACATCTCTTGGCTGTAGTTTTCAGAGCTCACTGAAGAGATCTGACTGCCCAGTTCCCTTAGGCAGGTCCAGAAATCTAAGCATGAATCTAAAGTTTATTGTTTGTATTTAGTAAGAGTGGCAATTCTTTGCCTTTGTAACTATATTTGTGTTTAGCTGATCTTCTGCTGTGCGTTGATAACACAGACTGTCTGAATAGTTTGGCAGCCCTCTTGCCTCCAGTGTGGCAAATGTAAATTCATTTAAATGTTTAGGGCTGGATCATGCCCTGTGATAATGTAGCTGTTGGGATGCTGGAAAGTGACTGTGCCCATGCATACCTAATTTCATAAGCTGTACATTGGGGCATGTAGTAGAGAGGGACAGGATGAACACAGAAGGGCTTTTGAGCAAGAAACATGCCTTCTTTTGGTGTTTGTACAGCCCCTCATGCCTTGTAGATGACACCAGACATACGTAACAAAAAGCAGTCATTATAAGGACAACTTTTCTAATAATATCCTCCAGAACAATAGCATTGCAGAGTAAAAAATCTGCGTTTTTACCTGTTTCTATGAAGTGTCTGGGGAAACATCTGTTAAATTAAAGTGGGGGGGGAGGGGAGGGGAGGGTGTCACAGTTTGGCATGCACAATCTTTCACCGAAACACAAAACGGACTGCGATGTGTGTGAACGGCCTTTGGCAGCTGACCGCCTGCTTTGTGCTCTGTGGCTCTGTACAGATGTCTCTCTACCGCTGCCCCTAGGCGGGTACCTCCATGCCTCACGGCAGAAGCAGGCTAGCCTAACAGGTCGATATTCTGGCTGCTTTCAAGGTTTTACACGCCTCGGCTTCATGCCTTCCTGTGTGTCTCAGCCGCCTCCCCCTGACAATGGCTGGCTGGAATTCAATCCCGCCGTGCCCGGGGGGACAGGCACTGTCTGCAGCGCCTGCCTGTGGGAACTGGCCCCCTCCTTGCTGCTGGACAGGGGAGCAGGTGGCTCCTGGCTGCGGGATGGGCACGAGCGGCTGGCCCTGCCGCCTCTTAGCCCTGCTCATTGTCTGGAAGTGGCCGGAGGGCGACAGAGCCGCCCAGCACCCGCGGGGGCACCGGGGCAGCACCACCACGAAGGGCAGGCACACGGGCTGGAGGGGGGGGGTGGTCTCAGGTGTGCCATGCACCCAGGCAGCCCCCAGCCGTGCTCAGTGCTGCCCAGGGGGCAGAGGAACTCCGTGGGGCAGGACCCCGCGCCTCTCCCAGCCGCTCGGGCCCGAGGCGATGGCTCGTACCTGGGGGTGCAGGTGCCCTTGGCGGGGCGCACGCCCCGCGCCCGCTCCCGCTCCGGCTCCAGCTCCGGCTCCCGCTCCCGCTCCGGCTCCCGCTCCTCGGCGGCCGGCACCTGCGGCTGCGGCTGC